GAGACACACACTGGTGTCCTTTGCAAGGAGGCTGACGACAGAAAGGGGCCTGGGAAGCTTTGTCTCCTCCCCGATGGTGAGGATCTTGGGCTTCCGGGTTCAGCAAGACTCAAGATCCTCTCCTGGCCCCAGCCAGACCGTCCAGGGTGAGAGTGCTCCTAGCACCGCCTCACCCGGGTACCCCAAAGGCTACACAGCCTTCGGAAAGATCCTCAAGCCTGCAAGCCAGGATGACGTTGCCAAAGGGCACCGTAGATTCATCCTCGGCAAGAATGGCAGGAATGACCAAGACAGAAAAGACAGGTAAGCGGCTGGGAGTGGACTTACTGTAGATGCCTCCCACCTTCCATATAGCTTTGCTTTGAAAGCACCATGTTCTCTACACCCTGCAAGCGAATTGTGTGGTGTATACCAGTTTTCTAGTTTACTGCCTAGTGCACTGTTGTATTATTTAATTCCCAGTTATTTTTCTTCACATTTTCATGTCTGGAAAATTTTTTCTTGGCTATGGTGTTGCTCATAGTTTCACTTTCTCTTGTCTATGTTGAACTCCTTTATGTGTTTTCTTCACTGCGAGCTTGGTATCAGGGAGGGTCTTAATTCGCCTTTGTCTTAGAAGTTCCTTATTCTTCCAACTTTTCTAAAAGACAGCTTAGTTTATTTCAGCGGTGTTGATTGTTATAGATTCACTTTCAAGTCTTGAAATATGACATGGTTTCCTGACTTAGGCTTTCTTCTGAGAGATATGAAATTATTTTGATCTTTTTGTTTTGTGAGTAATGAAAGTTTTGAACACGGCTTTTATCATGTGGTCGTCTTTTGTTATCTTCACTGTACTGTTTTGTGGGGAGGTTTTCCTTGTTCATATCTGCCCTGCACCCCCAGGATTTTACATACACAGTATTCACTGTATGAGTAGAAATAAGGATCAATTGAAATAACGGAATAGACACACAGATGGGGAATAGAAAGGTGAATCTGGTTAAATAGAAGGAGTTAAAAAGCATAAGACAGGATAAAATTTTGGAGAGGGAAAGAAAAGATAAAACACAGGACGGTGAAAAAACTCAGGAATAGACAGACTCATATAAACACAATTAGAGGAATAAAAGGTAAAACAGAAGCTTTTAAAATAAAAATGCATGGTAAGAAAGGATTGGGCCATCTTCCTTCAGAGTTCTGTTTCAACGGATTCTACCTGGTGCAAGGATACATAGTCAGAGACCCTGTCTGTATGAGCCTCCCAGGTCTAATGTCTAAGCCAAATGGATGTTTCCTGTCTGTGTTGAGGTGTGGTGGAGGCATTTGGAGCACTTAGAGCTGTTATTGTCTCTGAGATTTTTTTTT